TCTCCCAGGGTGTTGTTCTGACTTTGCTGAACAGACATTAGGGAGGAATCCTGCCCTGCTGTCACTGGCTTAAAAAAATAAAATTAAAAAAAAAAAAGAAAAAAAAAGAAAAAAAAGAAGTATTTCTGGTGTTAAAGATAAGAGGGGTGGGAACAGCAGGGATCTTCCCCTTGAAGGTGGGCTGCTGGTTTGATCCAGTTGTGACTACAGTGAGTGGTAATTTTGCACTGATTGCAAAGACAGCAGGGTTGGGGCACGGAAGGAGGCAGCACTGCAGATCCTGGCTGTGGGCACTGATTCCTCTTTGGCTTGGCTGGAAGGAAGGGAGGGAGGAGGTAAAGCAGAAAGAAAGGAATGGTGTTAGGCTCGCTTGCTCCCCTCCTATTTAAATTCTTGCCCTTAATAACTTCCTTTCAGACATGATGTGCAATACCAAATGAAGTTTGTGACCAAAGAGTCTGCAGTTCCAGGCTACAGTTTCAGTCAAAGCAAAATGAGTGTTCTTTAAAATCCTTATCACTTCTAAAATTCACATCTGTCCCTTCTGAAATCTGTCTGCCTTTCTGTCCCCCCAGTGACACGTCACTTTGGATCATCAGAAACAGCATTCTTTTTTCTAGGGCAGTATTCTCTCTAAATTTCGAGCAGTTCACTATTACAGAATAAAACTCAAGGATAAGACTCATTCCCAACGTCAAAAAGCAAATGTTTTATTCTGAAATGGGATTCTCTATTGTATTTAAAGCAGTTATGTTTTTGACATGGTGAGTCTCTTCAAAGAAAGCATAAATGTACTAATAGAAGAAGTATGGAGAAGAAGAAGGTGGGAGAAAGCAATGGATTAATAAATAGATAATTTTACTTCTTTTCAAGTCAAGTATTCTTATCCTTTAAACCAAGTATGTGCTACAAGTTCTGTGGCAGGGGGAGGTATCAGAGAAGCTTTTCAACAGAGCTTTTCAAAGCTATTGACAACCCAGCCCCCATTCAGAGGGAGAATCACAGTCAGGATTATTGGGTACCTGCAAATAAAAAAGAGCCCTTCATAAAAAAGAATCACCTTTAGAGTCCTGAAGTCCCAATAAGGATTCAGATATGGCTCTATAAGGGGATTATCAGTAGGTTTACTTACAGACCTGATGCTAGCCCAGTTCCTCTGGCTTTGCCCAGCTTTCTGTTATTTCCATTGTTCATTCTCCTGTGGCAGTTTCAGCAACACAGAATTACTCAGTGCCCAAAGTGCCTGGTGGGCAAATGAGAAACTCAACACCTTTTAGTTATAAACAGGTTGCATTTCTGTATTTGAAGAAGGAAAAATGCCCACCTTTCCCATTTAAAATTGTTTCCTATGCAAATGTATCGCAAGTTAAGAGTTTGCTCCACATGTTTTTGTGTGCAGATAGTTTAGTTTTGCATGGGTTGATTAATCAGTATTTTCAAAGCATTTCTCATAACGTTTTCTTCACTCAGCAACCAGTTTTGCATCTGCCATTGTCACAAATCCTTTGTGCATATCTTGGTGCAAACTAAAATTTAAACTATGAAAAAGGTTTCTAATGATGACTACTCAAAAACCCCTGAAGTTTGTTTTTATCTGTGTTACCATAGAGTATTTTTTCCTGCCTTCCAGATCCCAGCCAGGCATCTTATTTCCCCTCCTGTTACCTAACACAAGTGACTTTGTGAGTTGCTAATTATAGCAACTGTATGAAATTTGACTGTTGCAAAGCCTGGGGGAAGATAATATATTGTCTTAATGGCTAAGTAATTAGCAGGGTATCTGAATGCACAATTGGAAGACACTAAAGTTTTCTCCAATGACATACAAGAGATCATGCAGGGAAGAGCTGATAATTTAATTGGCCTCATCAAAGACAACACGTCCAGAAACGTGCTTAGCTGCAGCTTTGTCAGGATTTGACTGGGAGGCTTTCAAACTAGAGAGCTTCTGTGATTAATTTTCCCTATTTAAAGTTTAATATATTTCATTTGGCTTTGTTTGTTCGTTTTCCAGGAGTTTTTGAGGTGCCCAGTCCGGTAAAGAAGTTGGCTGCTACAAAAGGCAGCCCTGGGCTCTCTTTGCAGAAGAGTCCTTGCTGCTTGAGGCTGTTACAGCCATTCAGTCCTTCCCAAACCTTGGGGGTGTG